CCCCCCACCCCGCCCCACCCTCCACTTCATTAAATGTGCGTGTGTATTTTTTCTCTCACTCTACTGCAAACTTTGTTTTTGCTTGAGATGACATTCCGATTCTGTGGGTTTTTCTTTTTCCACCTTCCTTCCTGTTGTTTTTCATAACAAACCTACATTTGTTACTGTTGTAAAGTGGACAGAGCAGAAATGGAACAGATAACTCACACTCACACTCACACCCACACTCACACTCACGCTTCTTGATCTTACCTGTTAGATAAACACACATTAGGGGAAACCCTGTTGAAGGAGCGGGTGCATGAGTGACGGGAACTTTATCAAATATGAACACACATAGCAGCATATCATCATTAAAGTCATCACCTGAGCTTCTTGATCTGTTCTTACTGTTCTTCTTCTTCTCATGCGTGAAGTTATATACAACGTTTTCTTTCCTGCAATTTTTCTGCCTTCAATACAAATAGTCAACATTTATCATCAGGGCCTGACAAAAAAAAAAAAAGTCTATGGTGGAGGGGACTTCAACAGTGTTTTCTGTCATTCAATTTTTGGTAAATGGACGGAGTGAATTAGCAGCTGAGGGAAGGGCGAGATCAGCTCACTGCCCAGCCTTGATGGAGACTGATTGAATTCTCAACAAAATATTTTCTCACGCAAGATTGTAGATGTTTAAATTTGTGGTTTAATAATAATCACCTCATTAAAGTTGTGTCGCAGCGATGTCCAGAATGTACAGCCCTACAGAGTACTGGGCGCTCAGTGCTTTGTATTATTTAAATGTTATGGTATTGGTCATAGAGACTAAACCGACCAAAGTATCATCTGCATATAAATTGATCTCTGTTTACACTTGATGTAGATGTACGTACTGCGCTAATTTACGGCTATTATTATGTCATGCGTGAAGTTATATACAACGTTTTGTTCATTAACTAGATATGGAACACAGTTGTTTTTTTTAAACGTGATGTCGTTCACATTTACTCCTAATGACCATGGCTGTCTTTTACAATCTCTTCCTTGGGTGAGTTCAGGATATGGTCAGACCTTTTCTCAGTACATCAACTATTCCATAGTACACAAATGCCTCATTAAAGGATCATCAAGTCCAGCAGCACAATTCACACTGGTCCTCTGAGACGTGTAAAGACAGAGGATGTGGTGGATGAGTCACTGTGAGTCACACATCTGTCAGTCATACTGAGAGAACAACACAAGTCTTTAATAAGTTCAAAAATCAGGAAATGCTAGTCCACATCTACAGGTTGTAAAGAGTCAGGACCATTTTGATCATTTAAATCATGCAAATGATGTGAAACCTGTGGACGTGTGTGTGTCTACAGTGTTTGATTGGATGGTTGTCAAAATCAACTTCAGCTTTGAGTTTTCACGTTGCGGGCCATTTGCTAAAAAACAAAAATTGAAAAATGAGAAAATACAGACAGAGATGACTTTTACTTTTTTTTTTAAAGAATTTTCTGCAAATAGTAATTGGTAATACCTTACTGCAGGGGTCAATAACCAGGCTACTTTGACTTATTCATGAAAAATGTACAACCTCATTTTATTATTTTTTTTTACTAATAAAACCCCACAGAGACGAACAAACAGAAATCAAATTAATATATAAAAACAAAAGACATTAAACATGTTGACATAAAGATCTGCCTTTTTCAGACCAAGACTTTGCGCACTGCAGTGAAACCACAGCGCATCGCCACCAACGATGTTTATGAGGACATGCGTAGCACGCTTAGACGCTGAACGTGTCTGAATTCTGCAGGAGAGCAACCCGAAAACTCTGCAACACTCTGCATCACTGAGCAGCCTTGTGTGAGTCTGGTGTGATGTCAGTGAAAAGACAATAAGGTGCAAAACAAAACACAGGCCACGTTGGAACTTTGACATTTGCCACAGAGCACTGTACATAAATGGTAAAGAAAAAAACAATACAATTTACACTGTACTTCTTCATTGCTGTATGTATTTAAATGTAAATATATATTTTTTTACCTAACTGGTGGTAACATTGTTGCAAAGGTCATTATCATACAATTTATGGTAAATAAAGGTGTTGCTGGAACTCGATTTTTCATGCCTCCATCTTTTTTTGAACATAGATACGGTTTGACACACAGGTGAACACAACATGACTAGTTTTTCTTTTTGTATATGTTTAAAAACATTTACCAAATCTTAGCATAATGGTCTTTTCATGGGTTGTTCCACGCTGGTGGCGTCCCTGCCTGTCTTCAAGAAACTCTTGAGGACTCAGCCTCCTGTCCTGCTCCTCTCCTAACCCTTCTCTGTCTTGTTCCCTAACTATGGGTCTCCTTTCAAGAGTTCTTCTGTGTAACATGATTGTTAATCCACCTCTTGTAAGTGGCTTTGGATAAAAGCGTCTGAATGATAAATGCATACATGTAAATGTAATGGTGGTTAGCATCAATATATATACAGTGCAGTGATTTCAGGTCAGCTTTCATTCAGAGTCATACATGTCAACAAATGTTATCAATAGCAGTTAGCTTGCATATTTAGCCATCAAATGCCAACTAACTGGGTTATCATTGACCCTTTAGTTGTTACGTTACACCAGGGGTCACCAATGTGGTGCCCGCGGTATGTTCTAAAAATAAAACTAGTCAACAAGACTGCTTTTTGAACCAGTTACACTCACAGTGATATTCAAATGGGAGCAATGACGATGGTAAGAAGAGTGTCTACTATTGTAAGTCCCAGAACTAATTATTGTTACATTGTTCTGGAAGTCTGTATCAAAAAGGGTAGCTTTGTAATTACTAAGTGCCCTTGAAGTAGCTTTCAGTTTCAGAAAGGTTGGCAACCCCTGCCTTACACCAACCTGTTTTTAAGGATTAGCGGTTTATTGATGCTGGGTTATTTTAGCACCAACATACAGTATCTGATCCTCCCAAATCACTATGTAATGTTATGGTTTAAATTTC